CATATTCATTCAAAAACATGAAAATTCTTAATAGAGTACCCTCATTTCTTATTGAATTCCTAAAAAACAATATTTATAATGAATTTTAATAATTTTTTCGGATTTTTTTTAAGCTTTATTCTGACCAATTCACCCGATTCCCGATCCGGATTGCTTTTTGGAAGCCCGATCCGAGTCACCGATCCGTTTTTTAAACCATTGGTTAGAAGTAATGGTAAAATATAAAAAAAGTTTATGGCCTCGATAAGGCCCTTAATAGACACAATGGCAAACTAGAATTCATATAGCCAAACCTAATTAATTGGAAAAAAAAATGATGAATTAAGATTAGCAACTTCAACATAATCTCTCTTTTTCCTTTTTATTTTTATTTTTATTTTTTTTTGTTGTTTGCAACTTTTGCTTCTAGAGGAAGGTTGGTGTACGACCGCAACTTTATGAACCCATGGATCAAATCTTGCCAGAAAAAGTTGTTGATCATATCTAGCTTAACTATTATAGATATAAATAAATAAATAAATGACTTATAAGCTCTAAAAATAATATATTTTGCTACATAGATCCACCACATCTGCAATGTTTTTTGAATTCAAATTTCATAATGAAAGCAAGATTAGGCCATCGTAGTAGTTTTTAGCAATGGAATCGCATTATCCTGCAGTGCTTTAAAATGCTATACTCTTCTCAAAAAGCCTAGGCATTATGCTAACCTCACTTTTTTATTAGAAACTCAGCGCTCATTGTACAAAGGGTAGCAAAAAATAGATAGTGATTTCGCCTACTCTCGTCACCATCTAAATCTCATTATTCGATCACAGTCGTCAGGCAGTATTTCATTTTTCACTTTTTTTTCTACAAATCCAAATTATTTAAAATTTAGAGCGTGTGTACATCTTAGTGAGGCGCACCTAGTAAAAATATGAAAAAAATAATTCACAAAATATAAATTGACCAAAATACCTCCAAAAATTTATAGGGGTATTTTGGTTAATTTATATTTTACCAATTATTTTTTTCATATTTTTATTAAATGCACCTCACTAAGATGCACACACACTCCAAATTTTAGATCATTCCGTTAGTAAAAAAAAAATGAAAAATAGAAACACTACCGGACAATTGTGACCGTACTGAAGTTTAAATGGTGATGAAGGTAAACGAAATCACTGTTCATTTTGCCTCTATGCATTTTGTAGTATTTATATATATATATATATATAAGAAAAGTCTTCCCAACATCTATAGGCAGAAATGAAAATGAACAGTAATTTTACCTACCCTCATCATAGTCTAAAGTTCATCGCACAATCACGATTGTCTGATTGTGTTTCATTTTTTACAAATCAGAATGATCTGAAATTTGGATCGTGTATATATCTTAGTGAGACGCACCTAATAAAAATATAAAAATAATAATTCATGAAAGAAAATTGATCAAAATACCCCTGAAACATTTTAAGGGTATTTTGATCAATTTATTTCATGTAAAATATTTTTTTGATATTTTTCATAGATTC